GTAGAATCGCGTGAATCCTGCCAAAATTTGATCCAGGGTTATTTCAAATCAGGGATTTCAGATGTAAGTTTTGTTTTTTTCATTGTTCAATCATTTCTCTCATGCGTGTTTTGCTAATTTCTTTTCTTTTCTTTTACCTACCATGAATAGTATAAACAGAGAGAGCTTCGTTTTTGGCCGGAGTGGAAAGGCATCGGCGGCGGAAGGGAGTTCGTAGTTCCGGATTTGAACATGAGTGCAGAAGATCTAGCTTCGGCTTCTGCCGCAGCTGCCGCAGCCGCTGACGAGATGCGGCGGAGGCAGGAGGAGGTTTACGCGACGGCTTGCCGGAGATTGGCAGCTGCCGATGCGAGGAGAAAGAGAAAGGAGATGCAGAGGCTTAAAAATTCTATCGCAGCCGGTGCTCCTCTCTGCTCACGGGTTAGATAATTCAAGATAGGCCTTTATTTTGTGAGGAAAAAAAATAAAAAATTGTGTGACAATATTTTAATATTATTTATTTTAATGAGTTTTATATATTGCATTTTTATCTCATTAATTATTTATAAAAATATATAATTCAAAGTGTCTTAACTTTATATTTTTAATAAACCTTAAAATTATTGTTAAATTTTAAATTTGATCTTTAAATTTTTATAGAATAGGTCTTAAAATTATTGGATAAATTTAAAAATGAATGTAATGCAAAAAAAAAAAAAATTTTTGTTAATCTCAAAATTTTAATATTATTTTTTAATGAGAAAATATAAAAAAATCTTTTTTCAAGGCCCATAATATTTTTGTCAAGTTCAAATTATAATTGATTCTAATTAATGATATATACATATAATATTAATAGATAACCTATTTATTGGATAAATTTTGATTTAGAAATTATTATTAAAATTAGCATAATATATTAAAAATTATTTTAAATTTTAATTAAGTTAAAATGTTAATAAGAAAATTAAATCTATTCAAATCTTAGTAATTATTTAATTTAATATTTTTTTCATAATGATCTCTCTAATGATAGATATAATTTTAAAAATTTATAAAATATAAAAAACAATAAAAAAATATGAATAAATTATCAAATACATGATAATAATTAAGTATTTTATCGAATTCATGATTAGCAACTTATTAAACACTAAACAAATATATTCATTAATATAAACAAAAATATCAATAATTAAGTTTGTTCATTTATATTGTTCATTATATTATGAGATTTAAAAATTATGCTCAAGTTTAAATTATTAAATAAAGAAATCTTATTCAAATAATCATTAAATTGTTAATTAATGCATTTTTGTCAAATATATCTTTTTTTTTTTTTGTATGATATAAAACTCAATTTCTATTTTTTTGGCCAAACAATGTATTAGTTTGACCTCAAAGTTTGATCAAATTATGAAATTACCTTCAACTTTGACAATTAATAAAATATTATCCTAAAGTTTGGAAATCATTAAATTGAAACCTTAACATGTTGCTCATATGGCCATGCCACTGAAAATTGAAAATTTCAAAATGATCTCAACTACCTTAAACATTTTTCAATATGAAAAATTAAGATTATTTTTCATACTTATGGTTAGGTGATTTTCATGTAAAATTAAATATCTTAATCCGGTATTACATTGATTAGGAAATTATAAAGGACTTAGAAATCTTTTTTTTTTATTACAGAATCAAATTGCTTTTTCATATTTAGCATTGATAATCAAGAGATGATATACAATGGATGTTGAAATTCTATTGAGGGTTTGTTTGAGATGGATTGCAATTTTTTATAAAATTAGTTGGGAAGATGTTGTGGGAAAAAATACTTTAAGCTTTGTTTGGGACTGCTTTCTAAAATATTTAGAAAGCCATCCCAAACAAAGCTCTCTCTATTTGTAAAAAATAACTTTCCAACATATAAAATTTTGAAAAATAATGACAAATTAGCTAAAAAATAACTACCAGATGAAATTGTGATTATTATATGAAAAATAAAGCAATAAGAAAGCTATCCCAAATTGACTGTAAGGTTTCATTTGGGGCAGCTTTCTTACTGTTTTCTAAAGCAGCTTTTTAGTACAAAAATATCTAGTTGAAGAAATATTTGAACTAAGAACGAACCCTACGTGTTTTTTTTTGCTATATGTTATAACTCGAGTAAAGTTCGAGCTAATAGTAGGATGTTAAATTCAAGTGTATATATGAACGAGTCTCTCAAATTTTATTGGATTGTCATCCATAACTAATTAGGTGTGTAAGATTATGTGATTCAATAGTTAAAGAATGTCGATAATTCAAAATCATGAAATTGAGCAACACATTTTTCGATGCGAATTATGATTCACCATATCCTTAAAAAAAGATAGTTAAGTATAAATTGATATTGAAATATGAAGTAACATACTAAATTCATACTCTAACATCTTATTTTTCAATTTAAGAAGAAATTCAACACTAAAAAATTGATTACATTCATGTAAAATCACATAACTATGCTTGGAAAAAATACTTATTATAAAATGAATAAATATAATTAGTTACATGAAAAAAATCTAGTTATCAAACAAGGTTTCGTTTGGGACAGCTTTCTTTAGTTTTTTAAAACGGCTTTTTTATAAAAAAAAATGTTAGTTCAAAAAGTTTAATACTATAAAAGATGCTTTAAAAAGCCGTAAGAAAGCCGTACCAAACGAAACAGAGGTCTCTCACGACTTCCCTATCAAATGACGAGTAGCTGTGAATGTTTAAGTATCTTGGTCTCGAATAAGGCTTCGTTTGGGACAGTTTTATTAATGCTTCTTAAAGCGGCTTTTAAGTATAAAATTTTTAATTTTTGTACTAAAAAGTTGCTTTAAGAAGCAATAAGAAAGCCGTCCCAAACGAAACCTAAATAATATGGTAAACTGAATTGACAAATACTTTAGCCAAATACTAAATACTAAATACTAAATAGACGTTTCAAGCAGCCTTGTTGTCTTGAACTAACGAGTACATTATAGAGCTAATATCTCTTGGCCACTTCAACATTGAGATAAGTTGATTTAATTGCTTGAAGAAATGAGCCTAACAAGTCTAAATCGAATATGAACATAAAATTTTTGAATATAAGGTTCACTTGAGATGACAGTAGTTTTTTATAAATATGATTGTAAAATTGTTGTGAGAAAAGTAATTTTTTAAAAGATGTTGTAAAAATTAGATTCCTAGCACAAGATATTATGAAAATCAAAGAAAAAATTGAAGCCAAATAGAACATGGGGTTGCCGCTTGTTTTCCCGAACAAAATCATAATCTAACACAAGCCAATCTATCAAATATTATATTATATTATATAAACAAATCCAATAATTTTAGAACCATATTGACCATAAGTTAAATCAAGGTGCCCTAATTTTTAAAGAACTTTTTTAAAACTATTTTTTTTTAAAGAATATTGTTGGAGAAAATTTATTTATTTTTTAATGGAGGAGTGGCTTTAATATAAATAAAGTGCTTATAATGGTTGAGTGCTGCAGACTGCAGTGCCACTATTTGGTTGCGGCGCCCAATTCAGGGGTTGTGGCGCTAGTTTAAAATATTATTTTTTTCAGACTAAAGCGCTACAATGTCACTATTTGACTCTTTGGCCGAGTGCAATGCTGAGACGCTCGAACATACAGTGCTGAGATGCTCCAATAGTGACATTTTCAAATTTTACCGAAATTTACATCAAATACTTGTAACTCATTCTAGACCACACACAATCATTTTTATGCACCAAAACACTCCTAAAGACTTGCAAATGATTTAAAGCTCAAAAGTTCAAATATGTGCCTTTTTTCCAATCAAGTCAAAACGGGTAGAACTGAATGCTGAACATGGATTTGCCAAATAACATATGCTTCATAACTCTCTCCTACAGTTTTAAAGTATGACACATTAACTTAATTCCTCTATAATTCATGCAATCTTGTGCATCACTTCTATTCTTGAAGATATGAATCAAAACCCACTCATCAATCATATTTTTTTCTGTTTTCAAAATAATATTAAAAAAGTTAGTAAGCCAAGAAATTCCTCCTAAGCGTTTTCACACCTCTATTGGAATATCGTCGGGTTCTTTTCCTTAAAACTTCTTAACTTTGATTTTACTAATACACTAACAAAAATAAAAATCTTTATTTTCATTGGGGGTGCTAAGATCACTAAAGTTAATCGTATTCTCGCAATCTTCATTGAAAAGCCTAGCAAAATATCTCATCCACCTTTACTGAATATCCTCTTCTAATAAATGTAGTTCACTTGAATTAAATCCTTACCACTTTTATCTCTTCCCTCTCTTCTTGATGTTACAAAATCAATTTATCATTTAATGGTGGTTTAAAAAAATTGCTTCATCAAACTATATATAACACAAAATCATTTGATTTTATTTTACAAAAGTGCGGTACAAAAATGATTAATTAATTAGAAAATATTATACGAATTTTAAGGCAAATTTAATTTGTAAAACGAAAAATCTAGGGCATCATTTCCTTTTAGCTTTTCTGGGAATTTCATATATGAATGGATTTTTAGTCAATGCAAACAAAATTTATGAATATAGATATACCTTATGTTCTTTGATTTCTTTGGCAGCGAAGCAGTTCACTGGCCATGACAAGTAGAACTTATATCTCCGATCAAGTTGATGCAATTCTAAAGAATTGCAACATAAGAGTTAAAACGAGGAAAAGTTTAATATAGCCAAACTTTTTTAGCATACTGCTAGTTTTGTGTGAAACTATGATCGATTTTGTAGATCAATCAGTTTGTATTGTTGACTCGTACCTCAATTATATTCCATAAGTCAAACGCCCGGGGTTGCAGCGGGCCTCCCCTTGCTTGGGGTTCGGGGGGATTAAATTGTACAACATTATAGTGTCGTATTAGAGCATTACAACGATGTATACATCTGCACTACAACGTCTTAGGATGCAACGTGGCGATACTAGTAATGTAATATTGACTTTGAGATTGAGAGCATAACATTGTGACACTGTAAAATTGACTCAAAAATAGAGAATGGAGCGTCACAGCACTCCAGACCTCAGTGTCGTGATGCAATAATTGGCAATTGTCTTTTATAAGTGGTATTTCGCTAGAAAAATATTGAATCATCATTTTTAGAAGTCATCCTTCGGGGGTGGCAAATTTCACTGGTGATCTTCCTACATTTTTTTATGGTGAAAAGCATCAAAAAGGGCAATATACTCAAAGAAAGTAAAATTACTTCAACCATCCACATAACATAATATGTCCATCGGTAATCAAAATGAGAGCCCATGCAAGAGATGGCTAGGCAAGCTCAATGCTCTTCTCCATACAAAACATCACATGGCAAAGCTCACAACATAAGGCCAAAACACAAGAAAAAATTAATAATCCCATGACACAAAAAGCCTACATGCTATACATTATGTTTCACAAAAACATAGGACCATAAATGAATATATATGATAAATTTAAAAAATTGTGTATAATTTAATAAGTATGATTTAGACTAAAATAAAAAAATGCATCAAAATAAACTAACATAACTACTGACGATGGCATCTCTATCATACTAAATAGGCTCCAAAATGCATCCAACATCATGTGCTAAATATGGTGCTTAAAATGATAATGTCTAACTCCTATTATGCTCTAGAGGGAATGTTAAATAATCATAACATAAATTGCTCATAATGTGATTATAAAATATATTATAAGTTAGGTGTTCTCATAATTAAATGATATTTGCATAAATAAATGATACTTTTAAGCCTTGCAAGCTTTCTGATACAATTAATAAAGAAGTGTTATAATTATGTTATAAATAACATCATGATTGTAGTAAAAGGGACAAACTACCAATACTTACACCTTCAAAATTATTGGCGGAAAAACCGTCGCTCGATTAATTTCAACAGTAATTCTGCTGAGAAGTCCAGCATAAACATTTCACTGGCTACTCCTCATGATGCAACGAAAAGCGACGAAAAAGGGTAGAAATTCCATCAGAATTTTCTAGCGAAAAAAAAAAAACCGTTGTGTTTCATTTCCTATGCAGCTTTTACTGGCGAAAAATTTTCCGTGGGAAAGCTTCCGAAAACATGCAAATCCGCTGGAAAGATGTCGATTTAAGCCGAAAAAATTCGTGGTCGATTTTTCTGTAGTGTACTTGATATATATATTTTTAACCTTCATCTAGACTCAATTCATATAGATTACAATTGTTATTATTGGTTTCTTGTATAGAATGTCTTTAAGTAAAGTTATGCTATGATTAATGTTGATTTATGCTGACAAATCAGGTGATGAACTTGATATAAACATATTGTGGGAATCACAATTATAATTAATCAAACTTAATAATTTAATAAAAATTAACAAACATATTATTCTGACTATAACTAACCACTCTAATTAATCACCCCTCTCCTGTTCAATATAAGAATATGAATTATTGAACTGAATAAGCTTCAGTTTAGCAAGCTGCTCTATATTGATGGGATGTGCAACGTCACCGCCGCCGGCAAACGCCTTCTTCGCCATTAAAACATTCACCTTCGCCGTCGGATGAAAGGCATCCCAGAACACATATTGTTCTCTATTTGAACATGGAGTCTCATATGGAAGGCAAGTAAATTGCCCGTTATTTCTCCCAACTCCACAGCAACCACTGTCAGTCACATTAAATCCTGCAAAATAATTATCTCTAGCTAATTATATAATAATATCAGTTAAAAGCTAATCAGTTGATTAATTAGTTTAATTATTACGTACCATATGTTCCAGGGTTGTTAATAATCTCCATGAATATGTGATAGGTGTCAATATATGTGAATTTGGCTGCTGTAAGGTTTTGATTGAATCTATCAACCATCAGCTTCATCTTACTGTTGAAAGGATGAACAAGGCTTTGATCTATTTCTTGTGAGCACTGTGTGAGCATATTCTGAGCCAGAATGCTTGGTATACAGCCCAGAGATCCAACTCCAGATAGTACAAATTTCCTTGCGCCCAGATTGTACAAGCTCTGCAAAAGAAGAAGAAGAAGAAGAAGAAGAAGAAGAAGAAGAACGTATTGTATTTAAGTAAGTTGATAGTAAGTTATATTATTATTTACTGTGAGCTGATGAGAATAGTGTTGGATGAGGAGATCGGAGAACTGGTTTGGATTGTATTGGATGCGAGTGTTGTAGTTTGGCATGAGATAGTTGTTGAGGTAGTCGTTGCTTCCCATGCCAATGAAGAAGATGGAGTCGCCGATGGATCGAGCGACGGTGTCGGCGCTGAGATTGCCGGTGATTTGATTCAGGGTGGATTCGAAGTTCTTGATCTGTTCATTGAATGGAATTCGTGCCATCTGCATGAATGCATCGTTGATAGACTATTCGAGCTAGTTTTGTTAAGCAAATTAAAAAAAGATTATCTTCTATGTGTTCTAATTAAAAGATGTCTCTTTAATTAATTTTCAATCCAAATTTGTTCATAATAAACTAGTGAGTTAATTAAGAATTGAGGAATACGAAATTCTGGCCGGTGATGTCGAGGATGCCGGCGGCGGCAGAGGCATAATTGACGCCATGGAGGAGCTCGTAAGCGGTGGAGGTTTCAGAGTGTGCCGGGATGAGAGGGAGACCAAGAAGGTTGGCTGCAACAAACTAACTCATCAGTACTTTTTTTGTTGTTGTTAAACAATAACAAGCTATATTATTAACAAAATATGCACAATTTAATTAATTAGAGTTGTTGATGATCTCTACTCCAGTAGTCAGTAGATCTAAATGGGTGCATGCACGTGCATGAGTTCTTTGTCCTATGAAGAAATTTAATTAATAGTTTGATGCTCTGTATGTGTGTGTGTTTTTTTTTTTTTTTTGGGAAAACGAGAACGGGTTGGGGATTAATCGCCCACCAACCAAGCTAATCATCGGTGAGTTCCATGCAATGTATCCGAGGATATAGCTAGGCTTGTTACAAATCTACCCCAACCAAAAAAAATTTATTATATGTTAATTTATCATAATTAAATTATTTAATAATTTATTATTTGCAGGGGATTGGAGGTTCTAACGGTAGGAATTAGGAAACCATTTCCAAAAACCTTTCAATTTTCAAAAATTATTTTTTGTAAGGTATATGAAAGTAGAAATACTTAATTTAATTTCTAATTTATTCTCTTTTGCCAAAAAAGGAACAACTATAATTTATTCGCAAAAAAAAACTTTCTGTCCCTAAGATTTAAATTATTTGTAAGAATTCAATCAACATTAATAACATTGTAAGGAAGTCCTTGAAAACTTTATTTTCTCTGAAATTTAAATAAAATATTTTAATTAGTTTTTGAAATCATTCATGTGACTCTTTTGTAATTTAATAACTTTAGTTAATTATATAAAATATTACTATAGAGAACCTCCCGGTGGGGCCATCAGCAAAATCAATTCCATACGGGACATAGTTGGCTTTAGCCAATGAAGCTAAATTATTATTGTTACCGTTATCTATAAGAGAATCGCCAAAAATAAACATCGCCGGAACCAGCTCCTTCCGGCCTTGGCCACCGCCGTCGGGCGATGAATCCGGCGAACAAAAAGGCAGAAGAAGAAGGAGAAAGAAAGGGAAGCTAAAGAAGGCCATGAAAGTTGGTTGAAATCGAAGAAAGAAGGGAAGAAATTAAGGGTGGATATATAGTGATAGAAGATGTAGAGAGAGATGGCATAGAGGAAGAAGAAGAAGGTAGTTGGGGAAGTTATTAATGGATGTAAATGTCCTTCAACGGAGTAGTAAAGGTTGATCATGTGGCTTAGGTAAAAGGGAAGAAGGGTAGAAGACCAAAAGTCTCAACGAAAGACTTTAGCCATTTTTGGGAACTATAATAGACCATGTAGCTATAATACTTATTATTTGACTTATAATGCTATAAGTAGCTATTTTTGGGAATAGCATTAGACTAATGAGTAACTTTCAAGGTATGTTTTTATGAAATTCATGATTTGATGGGTTTCAAAATTTTGTTTTTATTTTGGGATGAGGATAAATTTAAGACTTTAATATTTATTCTAATTCAATTTTAATCAAACTTTTTTTAAGTTAATATATAAATTTAATTGATTAAATATAGATTCATGAAATTTATTATATTATGAGTTTAAAATTTTGTATTTATTTTGAAATGATTGTAATTTAAATGATAGTTGATTATCCATATATTGTATTTATTTTAAATTTATTCTAATTAAATTTAAATTATACATATAAATAAATATAATGTCTAAAATTCTTAATAGAAATTTAATAGATTGTATATGTGATATATTTATCTTAAAGCAAATAGAATGACTTTGTTACTTTTTTTTTAATCTTGAAGATCTCGTAAATTAAAAGAGAAAAAAAGTTGGGCTTAAGGAATCAACTACAAATTTTTTTTTTAATTTGAAAACAAATAAAGAAGAAAATTGGTCCCGTAGCTCAGTTGGTTAGAGCGTTGGTCTTATGAGCCGAAGGTCGCGGGTTCGAGCCCCGCCGGGACCATATTTACAAATATTGATCTCGCAATCTTCTAGCCTAACTTCCAATACGAAATTTGTTTTGTTATTTACTGTGATATTTACTGCCATTTCGGAACGGTTTTTCATTGAATTTTCTGTTCAACTTAATTTGTATTGAGGGATAACTTTTTTATTATTTTTATTTTATTTTTTAGATTACAATCAGAATTTTAATTTGATCATTATTTTCCATTGCTTTTAAAATACAAAAAATTTACTTCTAACATCAGCTTTAAAAAGTCAAACGAAGCTTTAGGCTTCTTTTATGACAGCTTTCTTTCGGATTTCTAAAGCAGTTTTCTAGCTCAAAAATTTCATGAAAGCAACCAAAAATAGTGGTCAAAAGCTATCTCAATTGAAATCTTAGCCTTCATTTTTTTCATCAAATTAATTTGTATTTGAAATATTTTATATTCATTTTTCATCTTTATAGTGTGTTATTCCCAAACTTTGAAGTTTAAAGATGATAGATTATAACCAAATATTTGGATGATAAGGAAGGTTAAATATGATAAACTATGGTTTCATGTGGTATAACTTTCTTACTGCTTCTAAAAATAATTTTTAGTACAAAAAATAAAATTTTGACAGTAAAAACTGTTTTAAGAAATAAGAAAGCCGTCTCAAATGAAATCTATAAATATATGATTGAAGATATAGATGTAAGACACTTTTGGGCATTTTGTGTTAGTAATAGTAGAATTCTTCGAGATAATTTATTTCTGTTGGTTGGTAGTCTTGTTGCGGACTAGAATATACAAGGTGGTAGAATGCAAAATATAACGTCTTAGTAATATACGTATATTCAGTACACCAACAAATAAATTAAGAGAGAGAAACATCATAAATTTTTTTACGTGTAAAACCCGAAAAGGGAAAAACCACGGGGCCTGGCCCAGATGAAAAATTTTTCCACTATGTCTGGGTTGGATACAAAGTTTGATTCACTCCTTTACTTTGAGACGCTGGAATTACAACATGTTAATAATTATATAGAAATATGGCGATGATTGATGAACCGGCCGAAATAAGACAGTGGTTGGGTAAAGCCTCAACGATGGAGCAGAAGAAAACTCCGACAGTAATTGGGAAGAGAAACTTTGGTAACGATCGGGAAGAAATTCCGGCCACAGTCAGGAAGAACAATGGAAACGATCAGGAAGAAACTTTTTGGTAATCCAAATTGTGGTTCAAACGGTCAAACCCTCCAACAGCGCTTCAGACCCTCGATTTGAACCCATTTGGGCTCCGATTGAGTCGAATTTGGTGTCGTTGGGTTCGTATTCTCGAGACATTCAATTAGATTATAAGTTTGTTGAAATCGGAGTTCGGATGGTCTCCAATTTAATTTTTGAAATTTCCAACTTGATTTTGCCTCAGATTCGTGCCCGATCAAGATAATTTTTTGATGATATATCAAGTCTCTTTGTTTTTTCTTTTCTTTTCAAGAGACCTTGTAGTGATGCTAGTTGGGTTATGACATCATCATAGATAAATTTGAAAGATATAATGAATGTGAATTATTATGAAAAAATAAACAAAAAATGAAGCACTACAAGAAATAGAGCAACAAAAAAAAGAGGAATATGAATAACAAAGAGTTTTGTGACTAATAAGCAACTTGCATGCAAAAAGCAAAGTGATGATCACATGATTGAGTCAATGAGCATTACTTTACTTGCATATGTTAATTTCTAGAAAAGATGAGACTCCAGTTGAGTAGATACTACTAACACTCATTAGAATCTAGATCATAGACATTTTTACAGTCATGATACAAAATAGACTAGACCATGATTATTGTGTATAAGTCACTTAGTTTTGTTCTTGATAAGTAAATAAGAGGTTGTTGATATTATTATTTACTATTTATATGATTATGATGATATAGAAATGCCATGTGTTTGTAAATATTCAAGAAAACTATACATATAAGAAAAACTCTTTAATTTGGACATGAAAATTATATTTCACAGCTAATGTTTAATTGATATCTATGATCATATCCTCAAACTCATAACTCAAGGCAAATTAAATAAACAAGCAATTTAAAGTTCACCAATAAATTCTATAAAAATCTCTCAAAAGTGAAAATATATTTTAATGATAATTTAACTCTTAATATGACACAATTTAGGAAAAAATTCATGTAACCGACTTTATGTAGTGGGATAAAGGCTTGATGTTGTTGTTATATTTCTTAAAAAAAAAAAAAACGAGTACAATACAAAGCTTGATTGATTAGCCATTTATTGCACTAATCTTAAAACAAAATAATGATTATAAAATTCATCATGATCAAATTTGAATTTGAATACTCTAACACAAAGTTTCTTCATTTTGAGGGGTCAATGTTGATGCTCGTGGCACATGTTATAAAGCTATGCAAAGTTTATGCCGCTTTAATTCAATAAGTTGGAAGAAAATTTAGGCCCTAATGAGAAATTATTTTGTGCGGAGGCCGGATGTAGAATGCTGTCCGGAGACCAATCAGAATGCGCCACGTCAGTGGTACCGAGCTACGGTATCGAGCGAAGGGGTGACATGACACATTCTGATTGGTATCCGAACGACATTTAACGTCCGCACATAATAATTAATCTCTATTATTTAGTGATGGAGTCCTTTGAATTTTCTTTATTCTCTTCTTCAACACACTTGTTGGTGTGAAAGCAATTGCATCTTACATGTAAATTGAATTGCAAATGGAATATTAATATGTGAAAAGAGTAGCGCTATCTTGTGACCATTCTAGTAAAGAATCAAGTAAAATTCTCTCCCGACATAAGTCAGATCATAAGCCATAGTCCATATTTTTTAAACTTTAACTATTAGTTATTTTGTTTGGCTCGATAACTTTGCAAGCTCATTTAATTATCGAGCCAAATATACCATATATATATACCGGTGTGTTCCTGTGGCTGGGGTTACTCGCTGTGGTACATGGTGCCACCTTCTTCGTTCCTCCAGGAAAGTTCCTCTTTCTCTGGTGGATCTTGATTTTGTTTTGTTTTGTTTTTTTAGTGTTTTTGGTTCTGTCTGGCGTCTGCCGACATGCCGCCAAAGCTCTGTGACCCTGGTTTTTTAGGGGTTTATACTTCTTCTCGTTCATTTTTAGATGTCCTTGCAGGAAAGTTTGAGGAACCCATTTTTCCGGAGCTTAGGGTTTCTTCTTTTCGTGGTATTCCCTCTCTTTGGATTTCGATCGGAATAAGAAATTTATGCACTTGCCGCACCTTTCCAGTTCTCTCTGGTCGGATTTTTCCCTTCTAAGCATCCTTCCTTGGACTCTATTCGACGGTTTTTCTTTAATCTGAAGTTGAATGATGAATTTTCAGTTACTGTGCTGGACCCGTCTCATATTCTCATTAAGCTAAAAAATGATCTTGATTATTGTCGGGTCTTTTGCCATGGATCTTATTTAGTTTATAACTACTTTATGAAACTTACCAAATGATCGCCCTTGGTGGATGTTGTGGTCGAGTCGCCGGTTGTCCCCATTTGGGTGTCTTTCTCTCTGCTGTGCCCCCATCTCTTCTCTCCCCGCATTCTTCATGGCTTGGGTTTGATCTTTAGAAAGCCCCTAAAATCGTTACTGCTACCTCTATTGGGTTTAGGCCGTCCCTTGCTCGTGTGTTGGTGGAATTAGATGTTACTAAAACCTATCCCTATCGTATCTGGTTAGGCCCTGAATCCTCTGGATATGTTCAGCATATTGTTTTGGAGGATTTGCCTCCTTTTTGTTCTTCGTGTAAAAAATTTGGGCATTTTTTCTAATAATTGCCGTCTAGGGGATAACTTACCAGCGTCGTCTAAGGTTGCTAATAAGGATTTTATTAATTCTGATCCGATTGTCCCTTCTTTTCATGTTAAGTTTGAGCAAGTTATCTCTGTTGAACCCACTTTTTCGCCTACTGCTTTGTATGTGGTGCCTGTGGCTCAGTTGGTTAATGTGGATCCCCCTCCCTCTAATTTAGCTGCTGAGAATGTGGAAATTGATGTGGAGAATGATGTGAACCTTTCGAGTGGTAAAGTTAATGATGTTGATGTTGTTGCTATTTTGTCCCCTGACGCTTTACCTTTTGTCCCTCAAGGTTTTAATTTGACTACTCTATATCCTATTGTTGCCTCCCCCGAGCTTGTCTTAGTGCTGATGGTCATGCTTATACTGGTCCCTTGTTGTCGGTGGTGTCTGCCCCTGCCGTTTTGGGTGAAATTCTTTAAATCCTGTAGTTTTGGATTGCCCGAATGAGTCTGCTCTTCTCTCTGATAATTTGGGTGCGGGTGTTTGTGAGGTTTCTGCTACTTCCAGCTCGCCTCCTGTCATGAACGACTGTTTAGTTAACAACAATTTTGTGGATGTACCTGTTACATTAATTGATCCTCAAAGCTTAGTGTATCATGTGGGGGACAATTCGAGAATGGATGTTCGTCTGCATTTGGATTGGCTTCATGGTTCATCTGATTCTGATTCAAATTCATATTCTGTTTCTTTGGAATTGTTTGGGGATGAGGATCCTTGCAATTCTTTTGCCTTGTTGCGTGATAAACCTCTTGTTTATGTTGCCTCTCGTGATAGGGCTCGTTGGAGAGGCAGACGTCGTCGGTGATGATGAACTTTGTGAATTAATTATTTGGAAGATTTAGTTCCGAACCAAATTCCAAAGCTAGATCCTGGTTAGTGCAGCTCCGTCGCGATCCAGCGCGGGCGGGATCCGTCTCGTCTCGGGTCGGGTCGTGACAGTTCCTGTGGCTGGGGTTACTCGCAGTGGTGGTGCTGCCTTCTTCGTTCCTCCAGGGAAGTTCCTCTTTCTTTGGTGGATCTTGATTTTTTTTTTGGTGTTTTTGGTTCTGTCTTGCGTCTGTCGGCATGCCGCCGAAGCTCTGTGACCTTGGTTTTTTAGGGGTTTATACTTCTTATCGTTCATTTTTAGATGTCCTTGCGGGAAAGTCTGAGGAACCCATTTTTTCGGAGCTTAGGGTTTCTTCTTTTCGTGGTATTCTCTCTCTTTGGATTTCGATAAGAATAAGAAATTTATGCGCTTGCCGCGCCTTTCCAGTTCTCTTTGGTCGGATTTTTCCCTTCTAATCGTCCTTCCTTGGACTCTATTCGACGGTTTTTCTTTAATCTGAAGTTGAATGGTGAATTTTCAGTTACTTTGCTGGACCCGTCTCATATTCTCATTAAGCACAAAAACGATCTTGATTATTGTTGGGACTATTGCCATGGATCTTATTTAGTTTATAACTACTTTATGAAACTTACCAAATGGTCTCCCTTGGTGGATATTGGGGTCGAGTCGCCTGTTGTCCCCATTTGGGTGTCTTTCCCTCTGCTGCGCCCCCATCTCTTCTCTCCCCACATTCTTCATGGCTTGGGTTTGATCTTTGGAAAGCCCCTAAAAATCGATATTGCTAACTCTATCGAGTCTAGGCCGTCCATTACTCGTGTGTTAGTGGAATTAGATGTTACTAAAACCTATCCCGATTGTGTCTGGTTAGGCCCTGAATCATCCGGATATGTTCTGAATGTTGTTTTGGAGGATTTGCCTCCTTTTTGTTCTTCGTGTAAAAAATTTGGGCATTTTTCTAGTAATTGCCGTCCAGGGGTTGACTTATCGGTGTCGTCTTAGGTTGCTAATAAGGATTTTATTAATTCTGATCTGATCGTCTCAAACTCAAGTTATCTCTGTTGAACCCACTTTTCCGCCTACTACTTTGTGTGTGGTGCATGTGGCTCCGTTGGTTAATGTGGATCCCCTTCCCTCTAATTTAGCCGTTGAGATTGTGGAAATTGATGTGGAGAATGATGTGAACCTTTCGGGTAGTAAGGTTAATGGTGTTGATGTTGTTGCTGTTTTGTCCACTGACGCTTTACCTTTTGTCCCTCAAGGTTGTAATTTGGGTACTCTAGATCCTATTGTTGCCTCCCCTCGAGCTTGTCTTAGTGCTGATGGCCATGGTTATGCTGGTCCCTTGTTGTCGGTGGTGTCTGCCCTGGCCGTTTTGGGTGAAATTCTTTAAATCCTGTAGTTTTGGATTGCCCGAATGAGTCTGCTCTTATTTCTGATAATTTGGGTGCGGGTGTTTATGAGGTTTATGCTTCCTCTAGCTCGCCTCCTGTCATGAAGGACTGTTAGTTAACAACAATTTTGTGGATGTACCTATTACGTTAATTGATCCTCAAAGCTTAGTGTATCATGTGGGGGACAATTCGAGAATGGATGTTCGTGTGCATATAGATTGGCTTCATGGTTCGTCCGATTCAGATTCAGATTCTGATTCCGTTTCTTTGGAATCGTCTAGGGATGTGGATCCTGGCAATTCTTTTGCCTCGTTGCGTTATAAACCTCTTGTTTCTGTTGCCTCTCATGATATGGCTCGTGGGAGGGGCAGACGTGGTCGATGATGATGAACTTGTTGGTGTTGCCTTCTTGGTTTAATTGGATGGCCTTTTGGTTGGTTGGCCATGGTTTATGTTCACTGGGCTGTTTGGAAGATCCTTTTGGTGCTGGTGTGTGCCTATCGTGTTGGCACTTTCAGTGGGATTACTTTTTTGGAAATCTCAGTTTTATTTTTTTGTTGTTGTTTGTTGTTGGGCCGGACAATAATGTGGCTGAGGCTCGTTTCGCCTTATATTGAACCCATGGTATTGTTTTTTTCCTCCTATTTTTGCATTTGCTTTCTGGATCTTGTAATTGCTCTTTTAGTCTAATAAATTGTTCTGTTTTGTATATATATATATATATATATAAAATTAATGACTGCCACATATAATATATTTATAGAAGATTACGTTGCCACATCCGTGGCCAGAAAGCTGTGCGTTCAAATATGAGCAAAAAGTTTTCTCTTTTAAAAATTCCAATTTCTGCATTGACCAGCTGCCACACTCTCTTTCAATCACTTCGATTTCTTGGCAAGAAGTTCCATTCCCCTCTCGTCTTTTGCTCTCTCATTCACGATCTCCCATAGAGAGATTGAGAGAGCGAGGAGACTGAAAAATGGCTATTGACAAAGACATAGAGGATTGGATGGGAAGCGAGCAAAATGGCTCAGTGGAGCTTCTCATCGAGCATGGAGATTTGAAAAGCAGCAAAAGATCCATATGGATGATTCTTTTCAGCACAATCGTTGTCGTCTGTGGCTCATTTATATTTGGATCCTGTGTAAGATCCGCAAAAAATTCTTTTTTTTTTTTATTCACTTCTTTTGCTACTCGAAATACTTGTTTTATTATGAATCTCTTGTTTGCTTGATAACCCTAAATATCATAGTTACTTGTTTTGTTTAATCAATCTGTTCCGTTGAAGTTTTAATTCAAATGAATATTCATTTCATAAATAGAAATCTCCAGTTGGGATAAAAAAAAATGTTTTGTTAACATTCAGGTTGGCTTTTCTGCGCCATCTCAGTCTGGAATCATGAATGATATGGGCCTTTCCTTGTCTGAGGTTTGTCTAACTCTCTTTCTTGTTCTTGAGTTATACCTAATAAGTAATGTTAAACTATGAGTGCAAAACTATGATCTTTGATATATTGAACTGGATAGTCTAAGGGGTTGTTTCGGATGGTTGTCGCCGAAATTATATGGGAAAACATAGTTTTTCAAAGCTATTGCGAAATTACATGTACATAGTTTTTCAAAGCTATTGCGAAATTACATGTATTTTCCCTTCATATGAAGATGAATAGTAGCTTTTTTTATCAGAAAATTTCTAAAATAGTCCCCAGACTATTCGTGTATGTCTAATTTAGTCACTGAGTATTAGGTTGCTCCAATTTAGTCACTCGAGTAAACAAAATTGATCTGAATTTAGTCCCTCAATTTTACAAAATTAATCTCAATTTAGCCTAAAAGGGACCATTTTGGATAAATTTTATACAATAGAGGGATTAAATTGGAGCAATATTATAGTCTAGGACTAAAATGATTATATATAAATAGTCCGGGGCCTACTTGAAATTAAATTTTTTTTTTTTTACAATTATCATATTCTAGTAGATCAAGTTATGAAAAACCCATTCTTGTCATAGAAATGTATCTAAAAAGCTAAAAAATTAGTAACCAAATAGCAGTGGCAATGACTTGTAAAGTAAAATTATGAAAAAAGTATTCCAACGTGTCAAATCTAATCTTATATAAAACATCTTGGATGTAACGAAGCTCTCAACAAATCCCTCTATTTTCTTTTCTTGTCACCTGACAGTTAGCTGCATAAGCCACTGAAGGCACATACGGTTATGCTATTGTTATCTCCCCATCCCCTCTCCTCCCCTCCCATCTATGGGTGTCAATTTGGGTTTAAAGGTTGGGTTTGGGTTTGATTAAAAGTTGACCCAACCTTAATTTGCTTGACTCGTACCTGCCTCGTTTATCATATGAGTCAAAATATTTGACTCAAACCTGAATCTGACCTAGCAAACACATTTATTATATTGATCATGCATTTTTTTAAGATCAACACGATCAAATTAACCTGAATATGGCTCATTTAACCTAATTAATATGACTCAAACCCGCCTAACCCAAACCCAGATTATTTGGGTTAATCCAAGCTCAATCCAAATAATGATTGGGTTTATAATTTAGACCTAAGCCGACCTAAATAATAATCAAGTCAGCTCAAACCTAAATTTTCGAGTCCAATTCAAATCAGGTTGTTTGGTTAGTTTATTTATTCACATCCCTACTTCCATCTTTCTCTCTTCCTTCAGCCTTAAAATATTTAAATTTTTATACTAAAAAGTTGTTTTAAGAAGTAGTAAGAAAGCCGTCCCAAACGAAAGCTAAAGTATTGCATAACAATTTACTTTTTAACATCAATGTTACAGTTTGCAGTTTTTGGATCCATACTAACAATTGGTGCAATGATTGGCGCAATTGCAAGTGGGAGAATAGCTGATTTCCTTGGAAGAAAAGGGGTAATGAAATACCAAGTTATTCTGTCATCAATATTCAAGATTTCGAATAGCTCGATTTAGTTGATTATGGCCCTTGCAGGCCATGAGAGTGTCAGCTTTATTTGGTATGATAGGATGGCTAGCAATTTATTTTGGCGAGGTATGTTGTGATTATAAGGTTCTAAATTTTATAGTTGAAATATGTAAATTAGATAAAACTGTAATTTTACGTTTTTGTAGGATGTTTTACTGCTTGACTTCGGGAGGATTTTCACAGGTTTTGGGACTGGTGTTTTTTCATATGTGGTATGCTTCTTAGATCTACTGGTTTTGCATATTGTGTGATATGAAAATAATCCTTGCAAGTACTTTTTCTTATAGCTTCTTGAAATTATTATGATTTAAAAACTTGCAATTACCAAAGCATAATTTAATTCGAGATGTTCCTTTATAAGATAAAGAGGGAATGAAAAGAGGATAATAGGTGTGGGAGAATTCCTTAATTGATATAGTTTAATTCGAGATGTTCCTTTATAAGGAGCTTAAGAAGAGTAGAGAGAAGAGAGGCTAATTCATAATTTGACCAAAATTTTAGATGTTCTCTTAAAAGGAGAAAAAAATAATGATGTGACACATTAAGACAACATCTTTTGAATATATTAAAAAATATTGGATTTAAGGGGAGCAAGTGCCACCACAACTCTCTCCCTTTCAATGGGCCTACATTTTCCAATTTCTCCATTATATATATATACATACATACGCGTGGGGGGTGTGCGTGTGTGTAGGTACTGGTATTTCTCTGTTTGATGTTAATTTCTTTTATAATTTCAACATGAATTTATCAAATTTATTCATGAGTAGGTACCTGTGTTCATAGCAGAAATATCCCCAAAAAATCTTCGAGGTGTCCTCACAGCATTGAACCAGGTGAAGACATTGGGTTCATGAGTTCTTTTCTATATATATATATATATGACATATTCCTATCTTTCTCTAGAATGTTCATTCTTTTTCTCATTGCATGTTCTTCAGTTAATGATTGTTGGAGGATTATCGGTGACATATATAGTGGGTACAATAGTATCATGGAGGGAGTTAGCTCTAATTGGTAAGTTCAATGTCTATTTGATCATTGAGAAAGCTAATTGCCTGGTTCTTTAATTCAACTTATCTTAAGCTAATTATGATTTAGGATTTGTCGGCAACTCATTGGATTGTTGGACTTCCTCTTCTCTTTTGCAAGATATCAAATTTTTTTCTCTTGCCAAAGTAGTAATTTTAGCTATGCAAATCAAAATTTGTTTATCAAACAAAATAAAAGAGAACTTTATATAATCCAATGTGCAGTTGTGTTGGGAATCAGACGAGACTTAATTCAAATCACCAAGAGTAAATACAAAAAAAAAGATGATCAACTCATAAAATGCATAAAAAAAATTTGTACACGTTCACCCATTTGATGACCACATCTTATTATCATCGTTGTAGGTTTCATTATGATGATTATTGTAATTTTTTTATAGATCTCTCAGGCATATAACCTAATGAGAATGCCTCCTTATATAATGAAAAATCTAAGGCAAATAAAAATATTAGTGAAATCTCCAAAATTATGCCCCGCAATTTAACAAGTTATGCAAATAAAATATCCTTATCAAGAGACTTGGCTTAATATATCCTGAGTTTTTCTTTTCCTATCTGCTTCCATAGTAATCTTATTCTAAAAAGTTTGAAATTTGATTCAGGACTCATCCCATGCTTAATTCTACTTTTGGGCCTCTTTTTCATTCCAGAGTCTCCTCGATGGCTTGTAAGACAAAGAAACTATGTTTACATTGCTAAATTTTCAAGGAATTTTTGTTAAAGCAACTCCCTTTCTGTTGCAGGCTAAAGTTGGGAAACAAGAATTGTTTGAAGAGTCACTGCATCGCCTTCATGGAAAAGATGCCGACATTTCTGAGGAAGCAGCAGAAATTCAGGTTTTCAATTGAAACAATTGTTCATTTTGGAAAATCGGAATATTTTTAACTACTCGAAATCGCTTCTTGGGAAATTTACATACATACCACTTTATACCATCCTATTTACATATCTAACACCCAAAACTTTAATATTACGTACATATCACCCTATATTATTTTAATATCAAATATACCACTCATATTTCCTTCCTACATCTCATATATTTCATTTCTACCCTCATATTTGATATGAAAATGAACTATGGGTGGTATGTATGTAATTTTAAAGTTTTAGGTGTTAAATATATAAATATAGTAGTATAGGGTGGTATGTATGTAAATCTTCCATGCTTCTTTTTATCAGGACTATATTGAAACTCTAAACCGACTCCCACGAGCGAGAATTGTGGACCTATTTCAAAGGAAGTACATCCGTTCAACCATCGTATGAGATATCTTTGAAAATGATTTAGAGAATATTATCATTTTTTAAAGATGATTTATATGAAATGGTTTATGTTCATCAGGTTGGTGTTGGGTTAATGGCATTTCAACAGTTTGGTGGAATCAATGGAATTGTATTTTATTCAAGTCAAACATTTGTATCAGCAGGTTCCATTTCTTGACTAACAAATTTATATATACCTTTCCTATATTCAAAGCTTGAAGCATGAGACACATATCTTATTCTTGTTCTTTAATTGCAGGATTTTCTTCTGGCAATTTTGGAACCATTTTGATAGGTGCAATACAGGTTTTAAATCTGTCTTTTCAGTTCTGCTACTTGCAATTACATTTATAGAATGCAGCTGCTGCATTACAGCATTACTTGATTTTGCTTTCCTCATGCAGTTGCCAATAACAGCTTTGGGAGCAATATTAACAGACAAAACTGGTAGAAAACCCCTTCTATTGGTAGGACATGAGATTTAGGGCTGAGTGGCTAATGTTTTTTATATTTTGTCGTCATAATTTTGAAAAGCTTTTTTATCTATCTACTTTTTCAAATGTAATTTTTTAAAACAAACTTTGAAAAAAGAAATTTTGTGAGATTAGTGAATTTAAACAAGAAAGTGGACATTTTGTGTTTCAGATTTCTTCATCTGGGACCTTTCTGGGTTGCTTCGTTGGTGCCTTATCTTTCTATTTACGGGTAATTATGTACCTTGAATCTCTGTCTTTTACAACTACTACAAGAATTTTCTGATAAAATTTTTGCAGGAACAAGGAGTGAATGCAGAGTGGGTCTCTGTCTTAACACTTTGTGGCATATTGGTTAGTGTTCCAAAGCCCATGTTTTGAAATATATATTTTGTCTTTAATTTATTGCTAATTAACTCTTATTAAGGTTGTAATCGAAGCTAGTCAATGCAATTATCTTATAGTTATTAATTAACTTCTAATTATCTTTACTACATATAATTAACTCATTTTTTATCATAACTAATAAGAAATCAGACAAAATTTTCTGCCATAATTTTAAATTATCTTATTATTTATCATCTTCATTAGCCTCATCCACAATTTAGGTTCAAATCACTTCAGGGGTGGATCTACCTAAAGCCCCCCCTAAAATTTGTTATATGATTTTTTAAGATAATTTGTCCCCCGCCATATATTTTTTAGTCTTTATTACAAGGTTTTTTAGGCAATTTTCCCCTCCCCCCAAAAAGTTCTAAAATACTATCATCTTTAGGCAATTGCCTCTAGCATAAATAAACACATTGTGTAGATGTGTTATTGTTAGGGAACATGAACCAAATACAAAGAGAAATTGTTAGGTCGAACCCCGCCAGGGGGCGCTGCCCCCTTGGACCCTGGCATATCTGTGAAATCTCTACACTTTTACTTATAATTACTTATAAGTTTGCCTCCCCCCTCAAAATTAAGGCTGTTTTTGCCCCTGTGTCATTTCATGAAATATATTTTTTGCTTATTATCGCCAATGGAGTGTTTTTCCTAAGTTGTTAACTCTATTTGTGCAAATCATTTGGACAACATCTACGTTTGTAACATTTGGTCTATCCATTTTCCTTATTAATACTTGTGCATTAATTTATCCACCTTCCTATTGTTGACCTCTTGAAATATCTAGGTAGAATGACCTCAAGTGTCCTATTGGCCATCTTAAAATGATCTTGGTTGTTTGGTTGTGCTTCTAGTTGACTCTATTCTCGCCAATCGAATACGTGCCCATCAAGCTGAGATACCTGGACCTTAGGTCTAAGATTGTCATGCCAATTAAATGAGGCAGTTTCTCAAGTTTTCTAATTGATTGGATGTAGCCTTTCTCAAGTTAATGAAACATGGCATTTTCTCAATTTGGGTGAATGTTGCATGCGGCTAGGATGCTTACTTAATTGCCATATTTTTTAACATGCAAGAATTATCGAAGAATGAATTCATAATTTTTTTTGCCAATTTTTCATACTTTGTTGTCTCCTTCCTGTTTACGAATGGAATTCCATCATCCTATCCTCAAAAGGCTAGGATAACCCACTTTTCAATCTTTATAAGATAGAGTGATGCATTAAACAGTTCTTATTAAGGGAAGCACTCAAAAACCTCCCTTGGTTTTGGTAGGATGCATAAGAAATAGTGGATACAACACCCATTCTCAATACTTGGCAGCAATGGCTAATGGAATGGCTTTCATAATGTAAAAAATCCTCAAATTATAAAGAACAATTGGCCTCTCTTTCTCCCCTTTTCAAAAACCATAAATAAGCAAAATTGATAGTATAATTGTGAACAATTTGGCCTATCAAGCTAGTTCAAGATAAGCATATATGGATCCATGAGTTTCTTAATTTTGTCAAACTAGCTATTATTGAAACTAGCCATTATTTTAGTTGTTGTAGCACACAAATGACCATATGAGTAACCTCATGTGCGCATGTATGTTTTGCTCTTAGAAATTAAAGAAAAATACAAGGTAAAATAATTTAATATATATAGAATGTAATTTTAGTAGATAGATCTAGTGGTAGGATTGTGACATTGGGTGAGCAAGTCATTAAAAAGAATGCACGTTTTAGATATATTGGATCTATTGTTGAAAGCGATGGTAACATAGATGGGAATATTATTAATAGAATTCAAGTTGAATAGTTAAAGTGGAGGAATGCATATGGCTTGTTGTGTTATATAAAAGTACCCCTCAAATTTATGAGAAAATTCTATAAGATGGTGGTGAGACCTACAATGCTTTATGGCGCAAAATGTCGGTTATTAAAAGAGAAGCATAATATTAAGTTAGGTGTTGTAGAGATGAGGATGCTTATGTGGATGAGTGGCTTTTCACTTAGAGACACAATGCAATATGAGTATATATGTGAAAATGTTGGAGTAACTCTAGTGGCAGATAAGATTAGAGAGAGTTTCCTTAGATGGTTTGGTCACATACAACGTTGTCTTTTTGATGAACCAGTAGGAGAGTTGATGTATTATATCCGTCTTATGTTAAGAAATAGAGAGGTACACTTAAAATGCCTAGATTAGAAAATATTAGAAATGACATTTTTATTGGATTTAAATGAGAATTTGACTTTTAATAGAAAACAATGAAGAAAAAATATTAATGTAGCCAACCTCACGTAGTGGGATAAAGGCTTGATTAAGCAACCTATTTTTTCAAAATTCAACATTGAATCTGAATTTAGAGCCATTGCCCCAAGGAATCTATGAGTTTCTTTGGATCAAAATCAATTTGAACGATTTAAGAATCAAATGAAAAATTGTCAATGAAGATATATTGTGATAATAAATCTGAAATTAATATTTTCTTGTAATCCATTATATTATAAATGTAAAAATTGTGTGGAGGCATATAGATATTTCATAAAAGATATATTAGAAAGTGGGTTGATCTGCACTTCGTACATGCCAACAAGAAATCAACTTGTAAATATTCTCACTAAATGACTCCACAACCTCATGTTCAAAAATATTGTAAACAAACTTATAACAATAGAGTTATGCCATTCAGTTTGAGGGGAGTCTTAAAGGATCATAGGACTTGCAAATCGACCAACCTCGGTAGGGATCCAGGAGAATACAAATTAAGGGTTCTACTTATTGGATTAATCCTCTTATGACCTTTACATTACAATTTGTGTTCCTCCTCTTCCTATACTAGCCGTCCAACCCTCTTGGGGCTTTGTGAATAATTTAATTTCTTTTAATTGTAAGCCGTTTCAGAGAAGTTTCTAAATACTTCCACAACTTGTATATTATTAAGTAATAAAATTCAAAGTAGTTTTTCTAATTTTCTACAAATATTATCATCTAAATTATTATTATTGTATATACTTGTTATCTTCATAGTCAATGTGACTAAACCATGCTTTTTAGTAATCTCTTGAAACCTGTTCATGTTGATATTGATAAATTAAGATTTATAGATTTAGAGTTTTGCCACATTAGTGGTTGTAAGGATAATTTTAATCAAGCAAAAATAAATTATGCATCGTTATTTGAATTTGAGAAATAAATTTCTAAGTGCTCGATCTAATCATAATTTTTTTTTCTATATCAATGATGCCATCATAAGAGGGTAACTCAAGTTTGACATGAACCTTCAATGGTTCAAGATCCCTTAAATGAATTTGAATTGGATTAGCCCCCCTCGATCTCCATGTTCATCCTATAGTAGTTTCTCATTTTCTTGATAAATTACTCCTTTTTCGTGGCAGAGGACATTCACCTCAATCTTTGTAGCTTTGACATTTTGTAGGAATTTATGCTCGATGAGATTAGCAACCCGCCATAGTTGAACCCTAAACATGGTTGAAATATATTTGTATTAGTTTTTTTAATTAGCTCCACCCGCAGCCAAATAAGGTTAGACATGAAGAAAAAGAGGATTTTATGGATTAAAGGAAACCAAATGAAGAAGTTGTTGGTGTTGGAGTGATTGGATAAAAATCAATAATTTTAGGATTAATTTAAGTAGAGTCATTCGATATATGCTATTTACAAATATAACATTCTCCTACCTTAATGCAACAAAATTCTCACCAAAATATCAAAATTGACAACAAAATCTCGCCCTATAGTATTTTACTTCCATCAAATTCCTAATGATTCAGTCCCAACACAATCAAATAAACTGGCTTGCCAGTCCAAAATTTTGCTGGTTTGAGTGAATGAGTGGAAAGTGTAGATATCCCTTTTAATTATGATTTGAACATTTAGTTTACTGTAATCTACTATGATGTTCTAACTGATTGTCCAACAAATACATTTGCTTTATGAGGCAGATTTATATTGGATCTTTCGCAATGGGAATGGGTGCAATTCCATGGATTATAATGTCAGAGGTAAACCACATTTAAAATTTTATAGAATAATTAATTATTTCATAATATATTTAAATAGGAAATAGAAATTCATGCAACTGTTATGAATTTATTGGTTACAGATTTTCCCCATTAATATCAAAGGAACTGCTGGGAGCCTAGTGACTCTGATGAACTGGTTTGGATCATGGCTTATCTCATACACATTCAACTTTCTCATGAGTTGGAGCTCTTGGGGTAATATTTTTTCTGGAAATAGGTTTTCTTTTTTATTTATTATTAAACAAACCTTCATCCTCACAAAAAAGCAATTTATTAAAAAAAAACATAATGATTAACTGAGGGCTTGTTTTTTATGGCTTTTTCGCTTATCTCTATTACAGATGGTTGCACATTCAATTTTTGCAATAATCTTCTTTCTGGTTTTGTAAATTTTTGTAATGGGAAGAAATTTTTTATAATTTTATCTGATAGTTTAGCAGCTATAAGAAAGTATTGTTTGATTTTCTTTCAAAGGAAAAAAAGTTTATAAAACATACGTCTTTCAAAAATAATATTTTACGTATAGTTAATGTACTCTAAAGGTCTGTTTGGGATGACTGCAATATTTTATAAAGTTGATTATGAAGTTATTGTGGGAAAAATAACTTAGCTACTCTGGTTGCAAAATCAGCTTTCAACTACATATATTTTTTAAAAATAACGAGGAAACCGTAAGAAAACAGTAGCCAAACGAAATTGTATTTACTGTCTGAAAAGCAAAGCAGCAAGAAATCTCTCCCAAATAGATCTTTAATCATGATTGAAATGCTTTTCAAATAAAAATATTATAAGTTTTGTATCCAAATGCATGTATCACTTAGTTATGCAAACCTTTTCACTTCCAATATTCATTTTTTTCTGCCTGAATCTGACAAACATTTAAAACTGTTTGTCTCATTCTTAAGAGTTAAGACCTCTATGAGCTTCATGTGTAGTATAAGCAGATCAGAATTTGCAGGTCACCATCTAGAATTTTTCAGGAAAGGAAAAAGAAAACAGGATTTTTTCTTTTTAACTTTAATAGAAGTTTCACCACTATACTATTTGATTGCTTGTAATTTTGTTGTTCTTTAGGAATCAAAATTTTGTCAAGTCTGAATTAGCATTATTGTCATCACATTTATTTTAAGATGAATGTAACATTAAATTTAACTGATTAATTATGTATTACATTTATCACAAAACAAATCCATTGGTTATAAAACGTATAGTTTTTAAATTTAAATCTCAGTTGTCTGATCTAAATTTTCTCTCATCATTTATGCTCTCTTGGCATTGTCATGCATGGTGAGCTCAGTAGCTGAAAGAGAGAATGAGCTAAGATCCATGAAGGGATCATGTTATAGATTATTCTGCACTATTATGTTTTTTTTTTCTCTAATTTGGATGAACTAAATGTTTGAATTTTCTCATATTGGACAGGTACATTCCTTATCTTTACTGTAATATGTGCAGCAAATGTTGTTTTTGCACTGATATTTGTGCCAGAAACTAAAGGACGCACTTTAGAAGAGATTCAGGCATCATTGAATGGTTAGCCATGATTAGTTACAGATGAAAGAGAAGATAATTTACTTGGAGAAATTATTCTATGCGGTCACTGAACGGTCCAGAGTCGAATTAGAATGCGTCACGTCACCCGGTGCCGAGCGGTACGCATCAAAAAATGATGTGGCACATTCTCATTGGCCTCTGAACATAGTTCGGTTGCCGCACAGAATAATTTTTTTGCGGGCTTCATGTGTTACTATTTTTATCAAAAGAGCTTTAATTCAAGCAATATCTTCTTTAATTTCTGTAATTTTTTTGGAAATAAATATTTGTTAGCTTCCTATGTATTATCTAAACTTTGTGCGTTTATTTAATTGAGCCGTTGAGAAAATTTTGTTATTATTTTTGTGAAAGATTGAGCTGTTGATATGTAAATTACTCTTTTCAGTGGTTTCATCTGTTATTTGTAAGTTAGACAACCACGCATGTTTGAGTGTTTGATAGCTTAGTTTTTTATGAAGATCTGACTTGGCCCAATTTTCACTACATAAGTATGGATAAAATAATTCGCTCTTCATGATTGGAAAGGATGAGATTATACAATTAAGAATAATTATTTGATTTATGTTGCAAGGATTATAGAAGTTGGATGTTAACATGTGTATGATTGAAGTTCAATAATGGGATTGGATGTGATAGTCAAGTAAAAATATAAGAGAATCGGAGAATTAAATGTACATTCAAATATCTAAAAATTGGATTCAAGTCAAGTCAGCATAGTTTAAGCTAAGTCAACTCAGTTCAAGTCAAACTAACTTCAAAAGGGGATTCACATGTCCATGACTGAATTTGCCTCAAACATACCGTTGTGATCTTTGAACTTGACCCAACATATGAGTGCAACTTATCAATCATCCTCGACACGTACAATCTATGAAGATAACCCTAGCTACTACTCAAGGGATGACTCCATTAAGGAAAACTATTGATCGGTAACTTGACTATTCGACCAGCAATACAAATCAAGCTAGTAACTTCTTAAGAGCTTGTTAGATAATTTCATTAAGTTGACATTTTGATCGAGTTACTCAACTATTATATTTTTATCTTATTTATTGTATAATAATGTATGTAGCCAATTCTATGAAGCTTAACATAGTTCGGGTACCGCACATAATAATTTTTCTGCGGGCTTCATGTGTTACTATTTTTATCAATAAGAGCTTTAATTCAAGCAATATCTTCTTTAATTTCTGTAGTTTTTTTGGAAATAAATATTTGTTAGCTTCCTATGTATTATCTAAACTTTGTGCGTTTATTTAATTGAGCCGTTGAGAAAATTTTGTTATTATTTTTGTGAAAGATTGAGCTGTTGATATGTAAATTACTCTTTTCAGTGGTTTCATCTGTTATTTGTAAGTTAGACAACCACGCATGTTTGAGTGTTTGATAGCTTAGTTTTTTATGAAGATCTGACTTGGCCCAATTTTCACTACATAAGTATGGATAAAATAATTCGCTCTTCATGATTGAAAAGGATGAGATTATACAATTAAGAATAATTATTTGATTTATGTTGCAAGGATTATAGACTTTGGATGTTAACAGGTTTATGGTTGAAGTTCAATAATGGGATTGGATGTGATAGTCAAGTAAAAATATAAGAGAATCGGAGAATTAAATGTATATTCAAATATCTAAAAATTGGATTCAAGCCAAGTCAGCATAGTTTAAGCTAAGTCAACTCAGTTAGAGTCAAGCAAACTTGATCAACTCAAACTAAGTTCAAACGGGATTTGCATGTCCGTAATTGAATTCGACTCAAACTGGCCACTATGAGCTTTGAACCCGACCCAACATATGAGTGCAACTTATCAATCAGCCTCGACAAGTAACTTGATTATTCGACCATCAATACAAGTCAAGCCAACAACTTCTTAGGAGCTTGTTAGACAACTTCATTGAGTTAGATATTTTGATGGAGTTATTCAACTATTATATTTTTATCTTATTTATTGTATAATCATGTATGTAGTTAATTCTCTAACGCATAAACCTCAACTTAAATGTATAAATAGAGGGATGATAATTTGGCTCATTTTACTTTTTTTTTATGCTCAATCTTATTTTATAAAATCTCCTAACTTTTTAATCTAGAATTCTTTTATATCTCTCTATTTATATACTATATTTTTAATCAATAAATTTAATATATTTGTTGTGGGCTAGAATATACGCGGTGATAGAGTTAGAAGTTTTTGTCTCAGCGTTGTATGGATATCTAGCACACAAATAGGAGAGAAATAAAAACAACAAGATTTTTACGTGGAAACCCTGGAAAGGGAAAAAATCACGGGGCCACGCCTAGTTGAAAGAATTCCACTAGTGTTTGCTTGATATATAAGAGGCTGACTCGTACATAAAACTTAGGACGATTAGATTACAATGATTCACTTTCGGATTGAAGTCCAATTACAAACAAGTTGTGTATTCGAGCTGAATTTAGAGTCACTTGGAAGTCGGACAGAATTTCGGGTGATGGTCTAGGAGTTTCTTCCCTCCTTCCATTCTTCTCTTATCTTCTCCTTCTTCTCTTCTTCTTCTTGCTTCGGTCCCCTCTCAAGAGAAATGATGTGCTATTTATCTTTTTTTTTTTAGGATAACATGACTCGTAAATAAGAGGATGATTAAGGGCAAAGGAGGAGCGGTTCGGATGGACGGCCGATATTGAATCCCTTGATCGTGGACCGTTTGACAGACATTTGAAGATCTTAACGATATCTGAATTCGACAATCTTGGGCTCGTTGGATTCGTCTCGTCGAGCAGCTTGATTCGATTGTAAGTTTGCTGAAATCGAAGTTCAGATGATCTCAGACTTAATTTTTGAAGTTTCCAACCTGATTTTCCTCGAGATTCGTGCCCGATCAAGATAATTTTTTGATGATATATCAATAATGGAATGCAATTCAGGAATAATTATGAATGGAACAAATATTAAATTGTCATGCACCAGCACAACAAGAGCACAATACTACTCACCCAACTAAATTAAGGTTTCATTTCGGACGACTTTTTTGTGGCTTCTTTAAGCAGCTTTTTAATAAAAAAATTTAAAAATTTATGCTAAAAAGCTGTTTTAAGAAGCAACAAAAAACCGTCTCAGACGAAGGCTAAGATTTTTTTGGGAAAACTTTTTTTATTGCTTTTTAAAATAATTTTTTAGTTATAAATTATTAAATTATAGTTTAAAAATTTGTATACTAGAAAATATCTTTATAAAATAATAAAAAATCTGTCTCAATTAATATTTTATTTGAGATGACGTTTTCATTGATTTTTAAAATAAATTTTTGTTGAATTAAAATTCTTAAAAAATAATAAAAGAAACTACCTAAAATAAAATCTAAGCCAAAGCGTCTGAACTGACTTTGGTCCGCCAACTTTCAGCCTTTGAATAACCAGTGGGTCTTCGGGCTATTTCGGAATGCCCGCGCTCTGTCTGTATCTTTAAGTGTCCTGTCGCACTGGACACGAATTCGAGGGTTAGGTTTTGCTTAAGTTCCTGTGTTACTTCTCCGGCGATCGCAGATGCCTTTCCTCCTCTTCGTCTTCCTTCTCTAGAGTTGCCTTTGTTCGGCATTTCTCTTTGGGATCCCTGTTCGAAATGGAAGCGGACATGGACACTTCTCCGAGCTACTTCAATCCCGAAGATCTGAGCAGCAGGGAGAAGTATCGCCGTTACAGGTGTGCTCTGTTTATCATGGGCTAGGTTTTTTTTCTTCTTCTGTTTTAGGCTCTGTTTGGATGTTTGGAATTTAAGAGGGTTCATTTTGTTGGACAAACATTACTATCTATGGGATTGCAAAGCCGGCATTTGCAACAATGAATTAGTTCTATTTTTTATTTTTTGTAAAATTTTTGTAAATTTAATCGTGCAGGAAGTGGAATTGTCCATAATGCTAGTAAAATTTCCCCATGATAGGTACATATACATGTTTATTTATGCATAGGTATATGTAAATATGTGTGCGCATGTATAGGGTTATAGTTTTTGCAGGGAGGTGAGAGCATCAAATTTAACCATTTAAGAGCAGCTTTGGATCAAATGAGATCAGATTTAAGAGGCTAATAAGATTATATTAACTTTAGTTCAGATGTCAATTCCACTTCCATGAAGTGGTACCACCATCATTTCACTCCTTCCTCACTTCACAATAACTGCAACCAAACATGCCCTAGTTTGATGCCATACTTATATTTTAAAATATGTTTGATATGCAGGAAAAGGCAGTCTACGTCGAGCACTTCACCTCTCTTTGGAAATTCTGTTTCTAAGTTTTCTGGAGCTAGACTCTTATATGAGGGCAATATCATACAAAGGAGACCCAATGCTGCACTTTTACTTGAAGAGATTAAACAAGAAGCTGAGAGTTATGATCTGGATGGTTTGGAGCAAAGTGCTCCTAAAACAAAATATTCATTAAAAGGACGAGAATCTGTTGATGATCATAGACTTGCTGAATCGAACACATGTTATAATTTTGCTCAATCTAGCCAACCAGTAAAATTATTGAAACAAGAGGATGAGCTGTTAGTAGATGGTGGAGAGACGACCTTTTCTCTTTTTGCATCCCTATTGGATTCTGCTCTTCAAGGTTTTTGAATTTCTTCATTCAGCACTTAATTTCCCTTGAAATTTCAGTTCTTGTATCCACTTGTGGAAATGAAGGTTAATACATGATTGGCACTTCAGCTTGCCTTCATAAAGCTTATTGTATAAATATAATGTTTTAGAAAGTATTTTATTTATGATTCATGTTTACTTAACCATTTCAATAATTTAGCGTATAACCAAAGCTTTTGAAACAAAATTGCATAAATATCCATATTAACGAGAAACCTCATAAAAGTTTGCTTCATTATGTAAATTAGATTTTGTTGGAAATTTGATGAAATTTCATATCCATCTAGATATTTTGTAGGTAACCCCATCATGCAGTTATTGTAGCATGCACAATTTGTTGACACATTTACAATAGTAATTTTATTTTACTTTTTGAAAGAATCCATTTGTTTATCTCTTGGGCTATGTTTTTTTTGGCTAATTATTTACTTATTATTGAAGTATTGTGAAGATTCATGATGCATAAAAAATTATTTGACAAAAAACGTCGTAATCTGCACTGAATAAGCAATATGTTCTTGGAAAGTATGACACTACATGAACTAGGACCAAATGCGACGGTTGTTAAAAACTTATTGAATTGCATTTGTAGAAAACATTATTTTTGTTGTAGTATATTAGCATTGTTGATACTTTGATATTAAGAAGTTTATTCCATTTTTTAATACTTTTGAATTTATGCCATTTAACATTTGACACCATAAAATATTAATTAGTTTGTGATATATCATTTTTTCTGTTTTCATGTTGCAGGGTTAATTCCTTTTCCTGATCTTATTTTACAATTTGAGAACACATGCCGAAGTGTCTCTGAGTCGATCAGGTGCTCATTTCATCATAAATTTCATTGAAGTTTTAGGTATTTCATACTTTTGGAAAATCCAGGAATACTTTGGTGGTTACCATATTACTCTTTTGCTTATATATGTGGGCATTTGGATATAATCACTTTGGGATATTTTCGTACAAAGCAGTTTAACTAGACCGTTTAAAGACACTTCACCCAAATACTTTGGTGGGTACCATATTACTCTTATGCTTATATATTTGGTTATTTGGACATAATCACTTTGGGATATTTTCTTACAAAACAGTTTAACTATACCATTTATGGATACTTTACCCAATTCCTTATTAGCATACATAAAAAGCCCAAATCATTTTTTTTAAATGCACACAACTTTTTCTTAAATGCACACAACTTCTTCAGTCTTTATTCATGAGCTAGCTAGGGTTGGTCTTACTTATCAAACCTTGGACATGTGGCATTCATCATCTATCTTTTAAAATTTTGTGCCTTGTCCTTGACCATCATTGAAGGCAAGTTGTGGCTGCTGTGTGGATCAGCTTACTTATAGGTTAATAACTGTTGAGAGGTGGTGGTTCTAGCTTTTGTGCTGCTGTATCTGCATAGACACAGTGACCTATTTGCTCCCCCATGGTGATCAGATGTGCAATCTAGCTCTCTTGATCGGACTGCAAGTTGAGTCTAGCTTTATGTCTGACTCATGGTGGTTATATGAAATACCAGTTCCGTGCATGCTGATTGCAGTGGCTGACATGTTGCTCTGCTCATGGCTGTGGGGGAAGATGATGCTACATAGCAGAAGGACTAGGAGTTCTAAGTTAGATTTAACAGAATATTGTCAGAAACTTTTTTTTTTTAATTCCCTTGTTTCAGATTTCTTATTTATAATTATGCTTACCATGTTGCTATTCTAAATTTTAATGAATTGTGAATGGTTAAATTTAGCATATATTGCCAATTCCACTTTGTTTACTTTATCTTGTTTAAACATTAACATTGGTAAAAAGCCTTGAAAGGTTAGGACATGTTTTCTTCTTATTTTCTTCCATTGTCAGTAATATGTTTATTGAGGTATAAATTTCTTTTGATAATATCATGAGTTTTCATCTTTGAACAGTAAATAATTTTGATATTTTCTTAATAAGTTGAGAGCTTTTCATCATCTTCATGAACTATTTTATGCTTCAGTGTATCACTAGTAGTATCAACAGAATGATGTTTCACAACTCATAATTTTGTGCTATGATTTTCTAGGTATGAAGTAGGTTGGAGGCATCGGGTGGTGGAGGACAAATTTATGCAACAGAAAGCGAAGTATTTACTCGATGAAGCAGCGTCTTGGTCACTTCTGTGGTATCTTTTTGGGAAAGGAAATCTCTCTTTATCCATATTAAAAGTTTTATGTTTATAGTTTTCAGAAAGTCTTGTTAAGGAATAACTATATGTAGATCTCTTGTTTCAACTGTGAGGTGCTGGAAAGTACAGTACGAGCAAGTTGCTCCTCTCCAAACTTCATTTTAAAGAGAGATAGAGAGAATGTGAAATCATTAATATGCATGGGAGATAAAGCAGTAAGTCATTTGGGCATGATCCCACCACCCACCCTAAACCATTGGAGTGACAGAGTTATCAGAGAGGATCAAAATTTAGTATCAATCGACATGCATAATGATGACTAAACTATTGAAGCTATTTGACAAGTTTTTGTTTCGCTATGCTGGTGTAAGGTCATCCAATTATAATTCAACTCTTAGAAGGAACAAACCACACATTAGTAGGATTTATCCCTCTTTTATTCATTGAGCCCAAGGACAAGCTGACAAATTTGTTTCTTGTAATCTCTCTCTCTCTCATACTAATTAATATGTAAGGTAAATGTACTTCTTGTGATATATATCTATTATTAAATAATATTTATGGATAATAAAAGATATAACGATATAAATATGTAGCAAAAATATGATTACCTGCCCACTACTAAGTTTCCAAACTAGTTACCTGCAGTTGTAAATGAATCATTCATTCATTCATTATGATTAAATGGTGCAATTTAGCTTCAGAAGTACTTCACAAGGGTTCAAGTCAAGCTTAAACTAATAACTAGGAGGCAGACTAAGACTTGATCTAGGGTTATGATGTTTTCCATGCTGAGGCCATCCTCCTTTTTGTATTTTCTCTTTTGATTTTCTTCCTTCTCTCGTGTTCTAGTGGTATTTAAAGAGACTATTGACGTATTGACATTACTATTATTTTGTTTGCTTACTTTCACAACCCTGGTGTGAGCATCATCTTCCTCCTCGTTCCATTTAATCTGTCCTTGTTTGATGCTTGCCAGATGATGAAGGTAATGAGGGCTACTTCTTGGTATATGTTTAATTTCTACGAAATAATCTTTGATCAATTGATATTTTTGGCGGCTTGATTTTTTTTTAATAATTTTTTGCTTTCCTTTCTGATGCGAAACAAACAAGAATTGCACGGAAATAGTTTAAAGGATTGCAAAGCTTGCTACTTAAGATTAAGGTTTCGTAAGATTAGATTAGAGAATTTTCAATCGTCGATCTTATTGTAGTAAGTAGTTACAAATCAAAAGTTTAAGGCAAGTTAAGATAGATATGAAATTATCACAGAACAACAAATATGTTTTAATACAATCCCACGATTAATATTTAGAAAGTTCACTATGAGTTACCATGCCCACTCACACTCAAAGTATGGCTTAGCGGAGAAAGGTCTTCAGCACACCCAACGATGCCACGAGGACAGTCGCAACGCCAACGGTCTTGATCCACGGGAAGGTCGACAGTGGTGGAAAGGTAGCCGCGGAAGGGGAAGGTGTAGATCTCCCAATGAGAAGCCAAGACGTCTTAGGCTTTTGAAGATCGATCGTATGTGCCAAGCAATAGAGGATGTGCTTGACGTATCTTTCCTCCGTCTCGTCGTATTCCCAATCGGGGTCGTAGAAAGGAGAGAGAAGAATGTCAATCTCCCCACGATCGTTGTAAGCGAAACCCGTGATCAACCTCGGGATCGGCCATTCGACATTGAAAGGAGATGAGAGGACGTCGTCTTCGTCTTTTGGCTTCAAAATTCCCAAGGGAGGGAGCAAGGAGGGGGCGGCCAAAGTGGAGAAGAGAGAGTGGCGGGTGGTTTGGGGAAGATGCTTAGGTTAAAAGTAGGAGAAAGTGAATTACTACAAATCTGAAATTGATTTCAGATTTTGAGTAGTTTTGGAGGGAATCAATTTGAAATTGATTTCAAATTTCAAATATAATTGAGGTCCCAATAGGAAAAACATTAGGAGAGCCCATTAATGGGGGCCGGCGGCATGGAGAGAGAGGGGAAGGGGTTTTGCGTTAATCCTGAAATTTATTCCAGAATTTGAATAATTGGGGAAGGGAATTGATTTAGCATTTAATGGGGGGATCCCCATGGGGGGCCGACGGCATAGTGAAGGGGGGAGGGAATTAGGGAAGAGATTTGGGAGTTTCCAAGTAGAGGTGGAGGATTAGGAAAAGGAATTAATAATTCAACTTTGATTTATTTTGAGATTGATTGCATGATTGAAACTTTCCTAATGTGGACCTCCTTATACGACAATAATTTGAATTTCTAATTTTTGAATTTCAAATAAAACCAAAATTTCCCTCTCATGCGAGCTCAACTAGGAAGTCATTATGATGATTGACATCAGCATAATGAATGGGAATTATGAGAGAAGAGGGGTCGGCGGCAAGGGGTTGGGGCGGGTTGGAGAGTGGTTGGGAGGATGGAGTTGAGTGGTGGAGCTAGTGGACGATGGGCTTGGGGAAGGGGAATTATGTGGTGAGCTTGATGGTGGGCTTGGACGGCGGTGGTATTATGGAGGCCGGCGGGTGGGAGTGAGGGAAGAGGTGGAGAAGACGACGATAAAATAGAAAACCACGAGTCGAGGACTCTTCCAACGACTGGTGGGCCTTGCACTTGCTCCCTTTGAGCTCTCTCTCCCTTCTCTAGCTCTCATGCAAGAAGAAGAAACAAGATAAAATTTTCATTCAATAATTCATCATCTAATACATAAGAGAATGACCACATATATAGGACTCACAATGACAAATAAACAAAAGACAACTAACAATAATGCCCCTCGGGCTACAATAGTGACCAACTACCCATAAGGGCAAAAAATGGAAAACTGAAGAAATAATAATGACTAATACATAAAAATGCATCAAAAGTAAAGACTCTCCATCGTGGCCATCGATCTCCTGTGTCGCCTCTGATAGACGCGTCGAAACCTCGTATCGATGTCCCCATCACTTTCCCTCTTTCAAATATACATTAAAATCCATTGACAAAACTGTAGTTGATTTCATCATCCTGTTCTTCTTTCATGTGGCTTATGATGATGATGATTGTTCTCATCCTGTTCCACCAACATAGCAAAAAGATCTCATAGACAAATCTTAGTTCAAGTAGAGAAAAGGATAGGGGGAAAAAAGAAAAAAATGAGTGGAATTCATGGAGGAGGAAAAATGAGTGGTAGAAGGCAATGCGGTTAGAAATGGGCTTGAAAACGTGCATAATACTTGTAACAATCATTAGGAATTCATGGAGGAGGATTAAGGAAATCAATGGCTCCAAATAGCTGGGATAAGGGCTAATGATGATTATAAAGCTCAGTTGTTTCTTAACTCAAAGTTAGCCATAGCGTCATCATTTCTTTATGGCAACATATTGCTGATCAAAGCATATTCTTCTATTGATTTATCTTTTTTTCAAATTTCTGCAGGAAATGAGGAACTTCCACGAGATCTTATTATGGTACTTTATCGTGTTCTTTTTCTGTAATTTGTGCTAATGTTTTACTCAAATTCTCGTTCGATCCATCTAAAGCTCCCCAACTTTTACTCAGTGTCCATCAACCTCACATCAGGAGGCGTGCCAGTTTGTTTCTACAAATTTCACTGCAGAATTATGTCTTCGTATTGTACTTTGGCTGGAAGGGCTAGCTACAAAAGCTCTCGAGTTAGAAAAGAAGGTTTTTCTTGTTTTTCTCTAATATAAATTTAGTGCCTTGCAATCTAATCATTGGGCCCTATTTGTCGACATTTAGCGATCTAAGTTTTCCTGGTTTTCTTGAGCTTTGTAAACTGACATTTAATTTATCTTTATAGCATTATATAAATATTAACATTTATCTTCGCAGGGAAGATTTTACATTTTGTGATATGATATTAATGTTTTGAAAAATTTACTAGGAACTTTGCAGTAATTTGTTTAATATTAGCAGTTGAATAGTCATGCAAACGAAGAATATTCATTTAAGATTCTTAAAAGATGAAGGTGCACATATTTTTAAACTGAAATTTAACTAGGCACTGGGACCTATATTAACGTTTAATATTGAATTGACATTTACAGAGTTATCAACAGGTGGATATACGTATTGAAGAATTTCTCCTTTGTTGAGTTTATTTTAGTAGTCTGGTTTGTGTTGTTGCCATGAAATGTCTAATACATATAGTATGCGTGATGTTTCATTGTAAGAAATATTTTTTTAGTTTTCAGCATATGCCTTTTCCTGCTTTATCCATGCATGTCATTATTTATTTGGTTTATTATTTTTCCTCTAGGAACATTTCTGTTGACATTACTTAAGAAAGTTAAGACAATGAAGGTGCACATCTCATTTTGATCCGTTAGTTAGGAGCTTTAGCTATCAACCAAGAGTTCTTAGATTTGAAGCTTGCGTATGTGATGTGTGTGTGAGTTTGCCTTAATTGGCTCAAAAGTTACAAAAGTTACAAGATGTTAGAGGAGTTTTTAGCGACATCTCTTTTTCATTTTGTCAAGTTACTTCTTATGGTCAATGTTATAAAATATATAGGCATCTTTAATGCAGTATGATTTCCCAAGGCACTAGGCTCTGCATTACAAACTAATTTGAGTGAAGTGAAATATTAAAAATAAATAGCCATTTTACTTTAAAAGCCTATTTCAGTTATCAAGAATAATTTTGAAGAATATAAAATGTTAATAATCACCGTTAAATATATTGGATGAAATAATGCCATTCCAAGTTTCATAATCTTGCTAAATAGATTATCTTTAAGAAATTTAAATAATTTATACAGTTAAGCTACTTTAATTTTAAGTGCATAACAAAAATAGTCTAAACTTTACTTTTTTCCTTATGATCACAATTATTATTAATGCTCTATTCTCCATCGCCAGATTTGTAGTCAATCCTCATCTTCCTTTCTCCTTGAATTTCATCCTCTTCACGTGCAATATTTGGCTATCTAGGACTTAATACTTTTGCACCAAAATCGCTTTATGTGTAATAACGTTTATTTTGTTTCTCCAACACCGAATGCTCTTTTTGTGCCACCATCAAATTTCATCATCAAAGTCTAGCTGATTTGTCGTGTATCACGTTTCTTTCCATTCAGGCACGTTGTTCTCCTCACTGTTTTGTCCCTTAAAACAAGTTGCTCCTGTAGGCAACATTTAAGGGAATGCTTGGATTAATTCTTGTTTTATGTTTTCAAAAACAAGTATTTCAGAAGAAATTGTATATTTTGCAATATTTTTTCATTTCGTGCTTTTGGAATCAAAATGACTTGTATTCCTAAAATTTTGAAAACAAATAGGAGGGTGTTTTCACATGTCTTGGATACATGGCTGTGCGTTTTTTAAATTAATTTGACTAATGAGATATTGCAGTCTTAATCAATATAAAATTATGTTATTAAAATTGTATTGGTGTTTAATTATGTTAATCTGGTTTAAATTAATTAAAATAATCTATTAGACTTTGTCTATGAAGGATAGTTGTGATTAAAATTTTTTGGTTATTTTTTAACAAATTAATTAATTTAATTTTTATACTGAGTGTAATTAATTTGGATTAAATTAACATTATTAAAATTTTATTAGAATGAAATTAATATAATCATGCATAGGATAATTAATTAAATTATTTATAAATTAATAATATAAATAGGTACATTATGAATCATTCATGCTAACTAAAGATTAATAAAGTATTTATTTGAGTGCCTAAATATTTAATTATTAATAAAATTTATTATTAAGCATGAAATAATTAATCAACTCATAAATGATCAAAATAATCAATAATTAACTCTTTTCTTAGGTTAATTAATTTTACTAATCAACTTTGTTATGGTTAATTATCTTTACTCTGGAGTTTAATTAATATATTTATTTAAGGCTTGTATAATTAAAATATTAATTAAACTAATAGATTGACATAAATATATATTTAATTAATTAAAATAATAATTAACCTAATAAGTTACTTCTAATTATTGACTACTAGCTATTTTGAACTAATTAAGATATATATAATGATTAATAAGAATTATTCATAGTTTTAATTAATTATAAATTAAATAATTAATTATGGTAATTATACACGTATAAATTATGTGTTTCATTTTTCTCTTGCTGAATATGTTTTTTGTTATTATTTCTACAATAAAAAATTTAGTCGATCGTCCAATATGTTTTCTTGTAGGTGAAAACAAGTATTAAAAAATAAATTAAAATAAAAACAATTTTAAGCACAAATAAAGTTAAAATAAAATAGATCTAAACTTTGCTTAAGTGGAGCAAAATGCAACTTATGTTGTAGGAATGAAAAAGAGAGGCACGCCGACAATTCATGGCGGAGTGCATAAAAGTGGGAAGGGATAGGTGTTTTGTGAAGTTATATCTATAGAAATTTTTTTTTTTCTTAATTTTCACACAATCACACTATTTAAGCTATATTTCTCCTAGGAGTTGGTTTTCTTTTTGAAGAAAGAAAAAAATGAGGTTAAGGCTTCGTTCTACGTATGGGATGTGGAGGAGAGTATATAGGAAGTGCTATAAGGGAGATTGAGAGAGGCTGCAGTTCTTTTGCATGTAGGAAAGTGCCAGTTGGGTTGTTGGGGTTTTGCTGGGCTACTATTGAAAGAAAACAAGATCACGATAGAGAGAGGTTGGGGACCAAAAGTAATCAAATTGATCCAGGTTTTTGTGAGTTGGGCATTCCGGCATTGCACTTGTTCTACATGTGGGGTCTTAGCGAGAGAGACAAGATCATAATGCTACAAAGAAAGGGCAAATGATCTTCATTGGAGGGAGAAGTTGTCCAAAAAGAAGGGAAAGAGGCTTTGGGTTCGAGTCTTGCGTATGTGATGTGTGTGTTTGCCTTAATTGGTCTAAATGTCCAAAAAAAAAAGAGCTTGAGTTTGAGAAGACCTGCCTTATTGGGTTGAGAAACGACATGATTAAACACTAAATCCTATTTCTCCTTAGCAGCATTTAGTAAGTTATGAATGTTGAATTTCTCTTTTCCTTGAAATATTGTTGGTCCTATCAATGCATTCTCCAACAAGCTCTTTTCGAGACTTCCTTACCATAGATGTCAATGACATTCTAGCGAGCCTTGCCGTGGATGATTTCCTCAACAATATTTTATTTTTAATACCTTCCCCAATGAGTTTTAGTCGTGAGTTCACCTTCCTCAGCGAGCTCCTATCGTAATCGTTTCTTTGTTCTCAAAGGTTTCAAGAAATTGAGGAGAAACTTGAGCTCAAGCCTTCAATTGATATAATGAGCCAAGTTCTAGCTCATGTGTACTATGAGATAAGCGAGCTAAGCTCGAGTTATCTATTACTTGAGTTCAAATTGACTCATTTATACCCTTATCTTGTGGATGACAAGGGAAACAATGGAGTGTGAGATTGAGCAGTGAGACTAGTAATGGTGTAGTATGGAGAGATTATGACTTCTTTAAGCATTCAACTAGGGGTGTAAGTGAGTCAAGCTGACTCATGAACCGGCTTGAGCTCGCCTCGATGAGCCAACAAGTCAAGCTTGAGCCAGCATTGACTCGACTCATTAGCTTGTGAGCTGGTTCGCTTAAAAATTATGAATATAAAATGCACTTAAAATATATTAGCATTCAGGATTTTAAGTACAAAGTTGTTAAAAATGTTTAAAAATTACACCTGACTTTCTTGTATTAAGTGGTTATTTATTAATTTTTCTTTAATTTCTCATTCCTTTTATCATTTTATTATAAAAATTGCTTGTATCAAAAGCATTTTCTCTCTATCATAATAAATGAACCAACTCGAACTCGAGATTAAGCTTGAGTTTGATTGAGCTTGAACTTGATTAATTAATCAAGCTCAAGCCAGGGGTGAGTCGAGCTCGATTCGACTTGTTTACACTCCTACATCCAACTGAATCGATAGCTACTTTTGTGTAAGAGACTAGACAAAGAAGAAGTTAGATGGGGGTGTAGCATTACAGAGATACTAGTCTTGACTAACCCATAAAAAATATAATTCAGTTTGCATCATTTTACCATATTTGATTCAAGTGCCCTACAAATCTTAAATTGATTTAAAACTTAAAATTGCCAATTAATGCATTAATTGGAGCATCAATTTAACTTATTTAGCCTCAAGGAAAGTTAAATATGCATTAAGCTTATATAGAAGTTATGTTTTGATTAAAATTATTAAATTAATGTTTAATTATTTGACCATGGTTTGGAGGGAGAAGTTCCTTATTTAGTCAAGCTAAAACTTTAATGAGAACATACAAAACCTAACCTTAGATCCTAATTAAGATTATGCTTTTAATTAAGATAATTAAATTTTGGCCAAGCCAATTCAATTTTTAACTCGATATTAAGGTCCTTTTAACTTTTAATCTGACTGCAAATAAACTTTATAAATCGATTGGGCTTGATTTTGGGTAATTAGTTGTTTTAGCTGGAGCTTATTTATATTAATTAATTAAATAATATTTATGAGCCCTAATTTTGGGTAAATAAAGAAATTAAAATTTAGTACAAATTTCCTTAGAATGAAGGACTATTTACTAGAGAAAAATGAGATAACGGTTCCATTTCACTTCATGGCTTTCTTAGCTGGCCATCACAAGTAATAATTCTTAGGAATGATAATGAGCGATGTGTGGTTTTATCTTGAGATTGTTTAAGGAATTTAGTTGGTATTTATCTTCAAAATA